CCTTACCTGCCCGCGGCGGGAAGGGTGGAGGCGGCTGCTTGAGAGAGGAAGAAGGCGCTCCGCGTCCGCCCTTCCTCCTCCTCCTCTTCCCTCAGAGACGAAGGCGGGAGAACGACGCGGAGGGGAAGCGGGAGGCTGTGGCGGAAAGGGGCGCCCCCAGTTGGTTGTCGCGGGGGTGGGAAGGAGAGGGCGTGTGGTGTGTGTGTGTGTGAGAGAGAGAGAGAAATGGGAGGATGGGAGGGCCGGGGCGGCGGGGCGTTTGGGGCTTACTCGGGAGCAAGCGCGCACCCCCCCCCCGCTCCCCGTGCAGAAGGGTGAGGGTGAGGACGGTCACCCCCTTCTCTCTCATATACCTAAAATTACGATCAGCTTGTTAGAGAAATGGGAGGATGGGAAGGGCCATGGCGGCGGGGCGGTTGGGGCTTACTCGGGAGCAAGCGCGCACCCCCCCCGCTCCCCGTGCAGAAGGGTGAGGGTGAGGACGGTCACCCCCTTCTCTCTCATATACCTAAAATTACGATCAGCTTGTTTTCGCTTCTCACGGCGGGCTGGATTTGATCCAGAACCCACTTCCTTTCCTTTCTCATGATACGACTTTTCTCCAAACCCACGTTTCAGTGAAAACATTTTTGAGGACCCTTTTCTAGTTTCTTCCCAGCTGCTGTTCCAAAGTGGTCTTTTCCTGATCACCTGGCTGAAAGCTTCCTTGGATTTATGACTGAAACTAGATGTAGGAAAGTTTTAATAATTTCAATTTAGTCGCTAACAACAGTTGGACATTGTAAACATTGTTCTTCTCTTAACGTTCAACTGTAATTCTATTTTTGCACTTTCTTCTTCAGCCAGTTGCCATTTAAATTCATCGCTATGTTGTACCAGCAATGTTGTAGCACATATAAAATGACTGATGTTCCTTCTATTAATTTCGAAGGATATGTTCTGCATATAAATTGAAAAAGGGTGATAAAATTGAACCTGCCATTCAGGTTTTTTTAGATTCCCATTTCCAGATTTCCGGAAGTTCCAACCCACATCTGAAAACGAGGGTCATTTTACTGCTTGCCATCTTCAATCTATACAGCAAGGAGAGGCAATGGGTGGCCCTTCAGGGCCAGCAGTTCTAGGTAGGTAGGGCACAGAAGCCAAGAAAATAGGACCTGCTTGAATTATAGGCTTTTCTAAGGGGTGTCTTCCCTTAGGGGGTGTTCTCTGAACTTACTAGTCAAGGGAGCACGGTTTCTCTAAATTGGATGGAGGGGTGGCAGATAGATTTCAGTAACACACTAATCCAGGCTTTGTCAATAGGACACAAAGATATGCATCTTCCATTACTTCTAGATCTATAATGTAGTAGGCAGTGAGTGTGCCTTTGATTAGGGCCCTATTCAGACACAATAAAACCGGATTTCACCAGCATGCTTAGGGAGCCCCCACCCTCAGCCTTTTCCTTCTCATTTGGTTCATTTCATGGCTGACGAGTCTGAAGATAAAGGATTCCTGCTGGATGTGAGAAAATCTGCATGGGGACTTCTCTTCTTCAGCCCTCTTAGTCATCCTATTAAGAAAGTAAAGACTGGTGAAACCGAGCGAGGTATTCCAGAACTGTTGACAAACATCTGTTTCCTTCATGCCCTTCATGCAAGATTCTCAATGACTATTATTAGAAGCAAAATATTGCACAAATATAACATTTTAGGTGAGGTGACTATTTGATCTGATCTAGCAGGGCGTTTCTTAGAAGCAGAGAAAATGGCTGAAGTCCTGTATCAAACCCACCTACAAATGTTTCTCACAGCTAATCCAGCATTTGCAGGGATCCGAGATGTTCAAACATTGATAACTCAGAATATTCTGAATTGCTAGAGTAGAATTGGACCAAGAAGTTATTGTTTTGTACTGTGTATTGTGTTTTCAGGATTTAAAGAAAAGCTGATTAGTTTTGCATTTTTAAAATGACACACCTTGATAATTTTTTAACAGGAAAAAAAAGGAATTTTCTAATTAAATAGCTGAAATGCATCCACTTTTGCCAAATTACATCGATTTTTGGCAAAGACACTTGGCGCAACACACGGAACCAGTGATCAGAGGATCCGGCTTCCTTTGTATTCTTAATCCTCCATGAGCAATCCACTTATCTTTGGAAGAATGCCTTTTATATTTGAAAAGCCAGAAAAAAACAGGTCTGAAAATATATGGACCTAGTAATTGTCTTAGTGATACTAGATATTTTAGATACCTATTAAATATGTACTTCTTTTTTAAAAAGTAAAAGAATTCCATAATAGGACAATTACAATTCAGCTCAAAATCCCTTTTAAATGTCTGTCTTAAATGAAAGTGGGGCATGTAGTTACATTAAAATCGCCAGAGAAAAAGATACATATCATTTTTAACACATTATTAGCTTAAATTCATACAATTTGGGACATATTGGTTATTAAACATGCTGGATCTCGCCTTGATAAGCAACCTGTCTTCTACAGTCCTGGACACAGATAAATATCCAGCGCATGATGCATTGCATGTTATGTAAGCTACCCTCCTGGACTGAGAACACAAAGGTGTGAGATCATAAAATCATTACACAGATCAGTAATTTGTAGTTAAATCCAAATATTTAAATCCATTGCCATGAAAGTTAAGTTTGTCATGACTGAGTCACATGAACGTGGGTTTGTTCTAAGTACAGTATGACTAATTTTGCATTTAAGCCATAGTGTTAACAATCAATCATGTTACTATCTCAGCATTTTATAAAGCATGTTTTAAAGTAAATCAACATCCTATATTGGAGAATGGGTTAAGAGTGATATGCGGGACACACTGAATTCATGGTAGCAACACTAACATTTGGACTGTAAAATTCTATGTACATAGTACAGTATGTCTTTGTTTCAGAAACCAATAGAAAACATATTGGTCAAGATGAAGTTGGTGAAAAGACAGGCACCCAAGGCATCCGTACAGCAATTCCCCCCCCCACCTCTTGCTGGCTTCTCTTCATACATTCAGGTTCACAACCATTCATATCCCTGGTTTTAGAATTATTGGAACATCAGATACACAATAGCCTGCTAAAGAGGACGGAAAAGTTATGCAATTGTCTTCACGTGATCACATAAGGATTTGACGAACAAGCTAAAATTCCTCTGTTCAGTTGGAAAATGCATGTAATGCAACCAAACATATGTATCAGTGTGTTCAACAAAAGAGTTTATTACCAAAATACAATTAGTCAATACATGACAAAACTTCTGTAAAGCAAAATAAATTATTCTAACAATGTACAATATTTCAGAAGGTAGCCAAAGTGGTACTACAAAGTTTGCTTCCATAGTTTCCAAACATGACAATCCTAGAGAAAGCTTAAGGCATGCAACTTAATGTGCAGGAAAGATCTTATAAAATAAGCCATCCTATCAATAATATAGAGAGATATCTGCAATCATTTACATGTCAGTTTTCTAAAGGTTTTATACTTTGGCTATAAAAAGCAGTGCCACAGTATTACAATTCCTTTTCTTAAAAATATATATATACCCATGCCCATGAATATCAAATGCAAAACTATTAAATATATTTTAACATTACTTTGAGCACCAACTGTACATTTTTATTTTAATGATTACATAAGTGCTTTAAATGCAGTAACTGGCTGAATCCCATCTGTCTTTCAACTTAAGACAATGTGTAGCTGCAAGAAAAATAGCTTCTACTGGTGAAGTTGCTAAACCCAAACTTAACAGGAAGCAACTCCTATGGATTCTAATAGTATGGTTGTAAGGAAGTTACTTATATAGTAACTAAACGGCTGGTTCAGACAAATTTTGATTTAGTCTTTGGGAGCAGGGGGAAGATCACACCAGCCAATCTCACATGCCAAGTTACTTCCAAACCCACTGCACATCACATTGCCTGATGCATCATTGACGCAGGGCAAAATCCTATTGTGCCAAACCATTTCCACAACTGATAACAGCACAAGGGGTTCAACATTTTAATCACTTATGCAGTGAGGCATCCAGGACTTCAATGTGCAAGCGGAAGTTATGTTTCTGTGGTAAAGGTCACCATTTGTGCAACAACTGGAGAAAATCCCACATAATACATCACTGGGGCTTTTTACTCAGCCAACATTCAAACGGACCAACATTCAAAAACTACAGAATCTACACATATACAGGCCCAAACCACCATGCAAGTTAACTCTTCACAAAATAAGGATCTAGTTTAATCCACAGTCATAGGATTTTTATGTGTAGATCTCCTGTGGATCCAAAGGCAGGATAAGCAGACCAGAGAAGAGTGGTTGCATTACCCTCTCCTACATTGTTGCCTCCCACTAGTCTATAGGATATTGTCAGTTCAATTTGTCAGTTCGTATAAGTGCAGCACACTAGATCAGTAAAACAGTTTCCACATCTGAATAAAACTCAACAAACCATAAGGACATTATCTCCTGCACATCTATTTGAGAATACTTTCAATTGATCTCAATGAAATCTATTTCTAATCAAATACACAGCAGTATTTCAGCCAGAGGTATTATTGGAATCCTTGTCCGTCATGGAACCATAAGGCAAAGGCTGAAATACAACTCAGAGCACCGAATCTGCTCCTTTAAAACTTAAGTGAAACACACACACATACTATAGTTAGCAGTACATGTTGAAGCATTTAACTTTCTTAATTATCCTAGAACTGAAAGGAAAGAAATACCATATTTCTGAAAGATGCAAAAAGAGAAACCTAACACACAAACTGATTGTATATCAAGGCTGGTAATGTGATCAATCAGCTGGTTCCAGGCTTAAGGCTTCCCCATAACAAGTGTGCACACTTTGAGGAATGAACCGATGGCACCATGTGGAAACTAAAATGTCAGTAAAAGTAAGCTATATTGCTGCATAAGATAAAATCAAATTCTTCATATTGAGGCTATAGTCGGTTTGTTGAAAAAGACGCCAACTTTACTATTAAGTTAATAAAACACAAGGTGTACAGAATTCATTTCAACAGTTCTGCACATACTGTGTTCTTCCAAAAAAGATCTACATGCCTTAAAATTAACAGTTAACTGTACTATTTTCGGAAGCTTATATTTTCATTGTTTTCTTATAATGTAGTGTAGTACAAAGGCAGGACACATTATCAGGGGAAAGGTATATGGCCAAGAACTATCACCAGAGCTTCAAGAAGATAAATAAAAAAGAACATGTTACTTTTGTAAGTTTTACTGAACTTTAAATGCCATAAAGATGGGATGTGAAATGTTGTACTCATATAATCTCAGGTTAAATAAGAGTATGAGATTTTTTTAACTTTTTGATATCCATTTGATATCCTAATGGTTCAAGAAACCTGGAATGCCCAGGAACTTGCTTTTTAAACATCGGACCATGTTAGTGTTTCCAAAAGTCACTTTGTCCCTACTTCCCTCTCACCTTACAGCTTCCTGTAGTCCGTTTTCCCCTTCTTTAATTCAAGTCGTTCTAACAGATGCTTCAGTGTTGGCCTTTATTGTTTAGTTTCACTCTGCTCTATGCTGAGATTAAATAATTTCCTATTTCTCAATACACAGGGTATTCATGCTGATGATACAATATCAACGAGAGAATTAAATTCACAAAGTAACAGTAACAGAAACAATAGCTGGTATGCATCCAGATGTGACAGCAATAGCCACATATTCTTTAGTTTTGTCACTGAAGCCCATTCTAATCAATCTGAAGTTTGTAACAAAAAGCTGATTACAGTACCCTGAATATTAAAAACGTCACTTCTTAATTTCCATTATAGGTTCCTTTGTCAAGAAAAATCCTTCATATGCTAAATCCCATCTTTCACAAATTTCAAATATTCCTGTAAACTCTCAGTCATGACAATATTGTTTGTCTTTCAGTCATGTTCTGATACATATAATTTATAAACAAAAATGATCTGAGATACGTAGATAAATATCTCAAGCTACTTCTGCATTTAGCATTCAAAGTTCAAAATCGTATACAAAATTGTTTCCATTTGCCCAATTTCAGAAATGGGTGTGTGTGTGTGTGTGTGTGTGTGTGTGTGTGTGTGTG